CCCCCCCCCCCCCCCCCCCCAAAATGATGACTTGAGCAAGGCCAAAGTTCTAGGCAATAGCAAGTTGGCAATGCTTTAGAAGGAGTTAAGTGAAGATGATTTTGTAGAGGATCTTTTATGGATATTCAAGAGCTCATGTCCAAAAAGGAAAAGACAAGCAACTAGAGATATTACATTCCAAGCTATGAAAGGTAAGAGAAAAGAGAAAGACACAAAAAAAAGAACAATAACGGTAAAAGCAAGTAGTAAAAATAAGTGGCCCTTTTAATGTCTTTGTTGCATTCATATTATTACAATATTTATTTGAGTTATCTCTTTATGGACTATTACTATATTGCTTTGAGTTAACTCCTAATTATATTATTGCTCTATGAAGATGATATTCCATTGCTATTAAGTTTATGTTTCCTTTTCCTATTTTTTTTTGTTGTTGCTGGATTTATGCCTACACACTAGAGGTAATGGCAATACCTTAACTAATGTTGCCTTGGGATTATTTAATTACTGGATTTGTGGCTACACATTATGGGTAATGGCAATATCTTAGTTATTTCTGTATTGCTTACTTACCTATTCTTCCTAGAGAGTTTTGATGTATTGAAATTTGACATTGTTTATTTGGTTTCATTTTCTACAAATTGGTTACGCTACAATGCTACATTGACTTGGGATGCTGAGTTTGTTTGTTACTAATGCTGCAATGATTATAGTATTATTTATAAGCTGGTTAGGATTTTGTTTTCTTTCTGCTTGGTCTTTTCCCTTATTATTTTTTTAAAAAAGTTTTTAATCTTTTGTTATGCTTTTTTTCTCCTTTGAGGGGATTTGGTTTGGCCTGCACTTCCTTTTGTACTATTTTCTCCTTAATAAAATTTTATATTTTTATACACACATAAATTAAGATATCATATTTAAAAATATATCGATAAAAAATTTGAGTAATTTATTTTTATTTATTTTTTAAATAGAGCTTTGAATTTTAAAGTTATATTTTACGTGGGATTATACGAGCCCGTGCGAAGCACGGGGTAGAAAACTAGTACTCTTAGATGCATGAGTACCAACACTTTTTTCACAAAGTAAAAGCTTAATTTAGGTAGTTTTCAAATTTTGAATATGAAGATTAGAAAGTTGTACTCCGTACAAAGCTTTAAGACCGCATATTCCGTGTCATAATACAAAAAAGAAGACAAATGTTAAATATTTCATTTGTCCTAAAACGTTCTTCTCGTTTTTGTTTACGAGATTTGACCGATTTTATTTTCAATTCAATTTATTTAATTGTAGGTATAAAATCAAGAAATAAAATTTATATATTTCAGAACTACATCAAAAGTTTTACAAAACAAGATGTGACAAGACAATATTATTTTATCAAATATCTTACAAAATTAGGTACAAGAAATGATTAGAGTTTGACTGTATAAATAGTAACTAGGAAAAACATTTTATGACGAAAGGAGTAATATAAAGACAAAATTTAGTTGCCCTCTTTTGGATTTAAGCACATTTTTGGATGAGATTTTGATGTATTCCTACACAGGAAAAAAGACGCAATTTATTTGTCTTTTTTAAAAGACTTATTATAATTTCCTGATTTAGGACATAATTTTAAGAGTCCTTGTATATAATAGATATAATAACTCTTTTTCACTATTATTAAATCTATTCAATGAAGTACACATATTTAGTTGTATACTAAAGAAACCAAACACTTCCATTGCACATAAAAGATTGGACACAAAAACTAGTGTTACCTGAGACCTTCAAAATTTTTAATTTGGTTCATCTCAAATGGCCCGTGTCATTTTATGACACTCAAGCTCTGTGTCAAGCTGATAATCATGAACTTTTTATGAACAAATCCATCGATGGCATTGACCAGATTTTTTAATACTATTTTACTTTCGCTATAAGTTTTGGACGTTAAAAGATTAAACCAAAGTGAGACATAGCTCAACGGTTAGCACAAGGGTGATGGTACAAGAAGAGATTTTGAGTTTTGGACCTCTACAAGTACCAGACACGGAACCCCACCCCTACATCAATTGACCGAAATTATTAATTAACTTTTCTAAGCTAACTGTGCGGGAAATCTGTAGCATTTGTTCCTAGTCTTGGGCAATGTTCTCTTTACCTGATTTGAATGGTTCTAATCTGATTGGAATAAATTCTGATCTGATCAAAATGTAAGTATATTTGAAGTTGTTTCTGTTCTGATTCAAATAAAAATAAATATTAAGTAAAAAAGAAAGAGAACATGGCCTTGGATTCCAAATCAGATTATTGTGGTGAAGTTTACTTTGCTATGAATGACTGCCCACTGTCAATAAATAATAGAGTAACAAGCACATTGGTCTAGTAATATAGCAGCACCTAAAACACTAGTGCATAATTTCAACCTAAAGTCTCTAAGAAGCTCCTAACTAGCACAACCTATGGCTTCTATGGGTTTCTTGATATAGTGAAAATGAATGAATATAGACATAAGTATATCTACATCCTTCCACTTTTCAATGTATCAAGAAAATTATAACGGTAAATTGACAAGGAATGAACTCAATTAAGGGTGTATGAGTGAGTGTATCTAATAAAATAGTAAACGAGCAATGGGTGGATGGGGTGGGGGTGGGGGTGGGGGTGGGGTAATCTTTCGCTTCACTGCAATCCAGCTCCTCCTTCAATGCACTGTGCAAAACTTGTTCACTGGTAGCCCCCCTTTGCTGTTCATGAAATCAATGAACTCAATTAATACTCACCCTG